CTTAGCGCGCCGCCGCACAGTGCCGGCCCAATTAAGTCTCATTCATTATTCAGCGTCCCGGTCCGCCCCCGCCCCTCAGCTGGCGGCTCCAGCATTGCTTCGGGGCCTTTCCCAGCCCCAGTGTGCCCCGGGGGCAATATGGGGAGCCACATTCCCTCCCCAGGCCAGGATAAGGACTGAGGAGGCTGGGAATGTGGAGGGAACAGAAACATTCTGCTGACTGCTAGGAGGCGACTTGGGTGAAGAACCTCCAGGCCCAGCCCACCCCCAAATCAAGGCTGGGGGACCGTAGAGATCCGAGATTTTCCTTTGCAGAGGAAGAAACAGGCCCAAGAAGCGGCAAGACTTGCCAAGGTCACGTAACAGAATCAAGATTGGAGCCCAAGACATTGAAATGAAGGCATCTTGCATCCCAGGTCCACCCCAGCATCGAGGCGGGAGGATGTGGACTATTCTCATGCTGGGGAAGCCCTCGTCCCCATCCCTTTTGCTTCTGGTTCTCCGTCTCGCCAAAGTCAGCGAGATACAGCGGACATGGGTTCCTGAGGGATCAGGGGGCTCCTCAGGTCTCAGGCTCAAATCTAGGATCTAGATGTAGTGCCCCTGACTGGCAGGCCTGGAGGCAGGGCAGTGAGGCAAATTCGGGGAAAGAGTCCCTCTCTGCAGCCTGTCTGTCGGTGACTCTGAAGGGCAATGGAGTAGGGAGAGAGGAGTGCAGCCCGAGGTGAGAAAGGAGACACATTCTCATTTGTAGGAGTGGAAAGGGGGCGATCAGGGGCTTTTTTTTGCGTTTATGGGGAACCGCCCTGGGCTGCTTTTTGCGGGGCCGTCTGGACAAGGTGAGTCTCGGGGACCCGCCCGGCACCACCCGTCCGTAAACGGCAACGCCACCTGGTGGTCGTGGTGCCGCAGTGCAGGTGTTCTCGGCCTGGAGTGGGGCGCTGTGCCAGCCGTGTTGAACCTGGGGACACTGAATACGCCGGGAAAACCTTAAACCGAGTTTACCCGAGAGGGCTGGCGAGAGGAGCCCCAGCCTGAAAAATGATCCCTAAGGGTCCAGGAAGGGCCTTGGGGAGGGGCCTGACCAGGACGGCCCGACTTCCGTGACACAGCAAACACAGAAAGACAAAGTCCATTTGGATGGAAGTGGGAGCGGAATGAGAGGGGCCATTTTGACTCTGTGGTCAAAGAAAATGACTGATCTGATGAGGTCTGGGAGCCGAGGTCCCCAGGTACGGATGCTCACACTGGGACTAGCGGGTACTAGCTGGTGGTCATGAGGTGCACTCTGTGTAGAGGGGAGAGACTGGCAGGCACTTTTTGGCATCTGGTTTGATATTCTGGGAATTCACCTGGCCGCTCTGGAGAGAATTTCCAAGTCTGCGCCGAAAGTTGGTGGTTGAATTGTGGAGTGCCAGTGTCTAAGTCAAAATGTAGTTTTCCGGAGCTGGAGGGAATTTAGGACCTCTTTCAAGTTTGACTTGTGGGAAGATTTCCTGATCTGGGGAGATGGGAGGCTGCAGAGGGATAAAACCTCAGCCAAGTGTCTGAGGGCAGCAGTAGTGGGAATTGGGGTGGGGGCAGGGGTGCTGTGTGACAGAGGACTTTAAAAACGTGTAGGAACTTTAAAAGGGCATTGTATCCATCCAGATTCACTCCACCCCACCCCCACCCCCCACCCCCAATGCATGAGTTAATTCGGGAGGTCGGTGATCTGAGGGGAGGTCTGAAATTTAAGCTTCTGCCTTTTTGTCTGTGTGCTGGGTTCTCAGTTACTCAACTGAAAGCATTTGAAACATTCTCCCCTAAATTTGGAGTCAGTGTGGTTGTGAAAAACAGAGATGAGGTGCTAGACCAAAGGGTATGGGAGAAGCAGAATTTCAGAGACACTCAGGAAGATCTGGACTTGATTAATATTGGAAGGAGAAAGGGTTACTGTGCTGGGGAACTGGATATAGTCTTACAACTGCTTTTTTCCATGTCTTAGGGTCTAAGGATAACTCTGGGGCCGTGATTCTCACAGAGGATCCCAGATTTCTGCATTCTGAGTAATGTCAGGTGCCACTGGACTTGTTCTGAGACCCTTTCCCTAGAGGATGGCCAAGGGGCTCTTGATGACCTATGTCCTCTGGGCTGTAGGGGGCCCTGTTGGGCTCCACCACCTGTACCTGGGGCGGGACAGCCATGCATTGCTCTGGATGCTTACCCTGGGGGGTGGTGGGCTAGGCTGGCTCTGGGAGTTCTGGAAGCTCCCAAGTTTTGTTGCTCAGGCCAACAGAGCCCAGGGGCAGAGGCAGAGCTCAGGAGGGGGGACACCCCCTCTGAGTCCCATTCGCTTTGCTGCCCAGATGATTGTGGGCATCTATTTTGGCCTTGTGGCTCTCATTAGCCTTTCTTTCATGGCCAGCTTCTATATTGTGGGCCTCCCACTGGCAGTTGGCTTAGGGGTCTTGCTGGTGGCTGCTGTTGGCAACCAGACCTCAGACTTTAAGAACACTCTAGGGGTGGCATTTCTTACTTCCCCTATCTTCTATGGCCGCCCCATAGCCATCCTGCCCATCAGCTTGGCTGCCAGCATCACAGCCCAGAAGCATCGCCGATACAAATCTTCACTTGGGTCAGAGACGCTCAGTGTGCGGCTCTACCGCCTGGGCTTGGCTTACCTTGCTTTCACAGGCCCGCTAGCATACAGCGCCCTCTACAACACAGCTGCCACCCTCAGCTATGTGGCGGAGACCCTAGGCTCCTTCTTGAGTTGGTTCAGCTTCTTCCCCCTCTTTGGCCGCCTGATGGAGTCTGTCTTCCTTCTGCCTTACCGAGTCTGGAGGCTGCTGATGGGAGGCCATGGCTTCAGCAGCAGCTACTTCCAGGAGTGGAAGAAGCTGTACGAGTTTGTTCACAGTTTTCAGGATGAGAAGTGTCAGCTGGCTCGCCAGGTAAGGTTTTCTCCTCTCTCAGTCCTGTCTGGGTCGGCTCCAGGGGTTAGGCTAAGCCTTATTGGAGCTGGTGCCCCTTATGTGGAAATACTGTTTTCATGTCTGCTGGGTCAGGCCCCAGAAGGATGTTCTAGACTGTTTGGGCTTCTGTGTGCAATGAATGAAGGTGCAGAGCTCTAATAGGGAGCAGAAAAAGGTATGTCTATATCATTTACCTTTGCTTGAGGTACAACATATATAAAGTACACTAATTTTTTGTATACACCTATGTAAGTACCACTCAGATCAAGGTATAGAATATTTCCAGTAGTAAGAAGGTTTCTGGGGGGAGCATATAGCTCAATGGTAGAGAGCATGCTTAGCATGCAGGAGGTCTTGGGTTCAATCCCCAGTATCTCCATTAAAAAAAAAAAAAGGTTTCCTTATGCCCCTTTCCAATTCCTTCCTGGGAGGGGTACCTCTTTTCTGACTTCTGTCACCATAGATTAGTTTTGTCTATTCTTGGGCTTCGTATAAATGGAACCATTCAGTGTGTACTCTTTTGTGTCTGACTTTCATTGAACATTATGTTTGTGAGATTTATTCATACTGTTGCACGGGATTATAAATTGTTTTCATTGTTGTATAGTATCCCATTGTAAGAATATACCACAATTTATCTATCTATTCTGTTGTTAGTGAACATTTGGGTTGTTCGCAGTTTGGGGCTATTCTGAATAAAGCTGCTACGAACATTCTTGTACACGTATTTGGTGAACATATATGCTTATTTCTCTTGTGAGAAGGACATCTTATCAGAGATGCCAAGTTCCAGGTTGGAAAATGGGTATCTGTGATTAAAGGCAAATCCTGGTTCTTGCCATGCGATCCAGAGCTTGTCTATGTTTCAAAAGGCTGGAATTCTAATCTGAGGCTCTGGGCATTTTTGACCAGTAAGTGGAAGCCAATTCCAGCATGATTTAGGAAGGGAGCAGGGAGAGGCCCAGATGCCCTGACAACTCATGAGGCTCTAATTTGTTAGTTTCTGTTTCCTGAAGGTTTTGGGTGTCTCAGAGGGGGCAACAAATGAACAAATACATCGCAGATACCGAGAGCTAGTGAAGATCTGGCACCCTGACCACAACCGGCACCAGACAGAGGAAGCTCAGAGGCACTTCCTGGAGATCCAGGCTGCGTATGAAGCCCTGAATCAGCTCAAGAAGCCCAGGGGTTCCTAAAGGTGAGAAGAAACTTCCCCTTGAGGATAGACTCTTCCTGGCAGAGCTGGGGAGCTTGTCCTAGCCCAGCTTTGTCTACTTGGGGCATCCTAACAATGTTAAAGAAACTGTCATTTGCAGCAGAAATGAGAAAACCTTAGAGGTGAGAAAGCTATTGTGATGAAAGAATGTATTTATGTTTTTGAATTTCTGAATTCTTGACTATTATATTCCTGATTATTTTTTCTTAAAGCCAGATAGTCAAACGAAAGACGTATTATAAAACCAACAAAATATCTTTTAGAGACTATACCACCTTATTTCACCCCTGGTCCATTGATGAGTGATGGGGGAAGGTTATTTATCAAATTTTTTTTAATATGCCACGTACTGAGGTGATTGAACGGAAATATAAGATTCTAGTATTTCACAAGCTGTCCTGTGACAAGAGGGATTTGATCTATTCTATGGACTACCAAGGGGTAAGACTGGGGTTAAATTTCAAAATTTCAGAAAAAATATTTTAATTCCATTTATTAGGAGAGCTTTCTAGGAGCTACACTTTTCCCAAGAAGAAAGAAGCTGCTGTGGATTAGCGACAGTCCCCTCATCATAGACTCTTCTGCGTGAAGGGGTATTGTGGAATGCCCTCAAAACCTACATGGGTGCTGGACTGACTGAATTCTCAGGTCTTCCCAAACCTTGGGATTTAATTCTGAGCTACACATCCTGCTCCCTCTTTGCTTACAGTCCAGTGGGGGAACACAGGTACCAAGTCCACCTCACTCAGTGTTTTGAACTGCGTTCTAAGTGGTGTAACTAGGATGCATTAGAATGTTGCAGAAGAGACAGACGACATTGTTTTATAGAAACTCATGGGAAAATTCATGATTTTATATCTCATACGCCCTTATGAGGACTTTGGGGAAACCCTAGGGAACCAATAGCTTGAACATCTCAAGGGGGCCTTATTTAATTCCCAAATGTGGAAGAACTAGCCCAGGATGCTTCAGTTTGCAGAGGAAGACTGGAGACCAGGAACATGATGTTAGAATTATGTACCTTTACTCCAGCTTTCATTCTCTTCTTTATTTGTGGGTGTGTCCCTTACACTTTTTTTTTTCTGGAAGTTAACTCTGAGTGGTATATATATTTTAAACAAGTAGGATTATTTTGGCTAGTGTTCCCTACTAATTAAAAAAATGGTCTGATCAGTTGATAGGAATGAAATTTGTAGATGTTTTTTCTTTGCATCCATATATTAAAAAAATTGTCAATGAATTTATGTACCTTGATTTCAAGACCAAATTAACTTTCTCACCTTTCTAAAGTTGACAGAAATTGATATACATTGCCTTTGAAAAGCATTTATAATTTGTCAGATTATAATGTGGAATTTTAATGAGATATTTTCATAGCTATTAATTAATAACTTGTTAATATGACATGTAGTAGTACATCTGCAAAATGTAAATATAGTAAATAACAGTCTATAAGGAAAAAGAGACAAAAAGTGATTGGGGTTTTACTTGATTTGGAAAATTATTTTACTGTTCTCAAATTTTCTTAGGAGTTTTTGTACAAAATATGCAATATTTTAGTTTGTTCAAATGGGAACTGTTGATGAGCAGCCTCTATTTTTCCAATATGAGCCATGCTACAATAAATACCTTTAAATATATGTGCTGGTGTTTTTTAATTTTTTTGATGCTAGATTCCAATAAATCATAATGTCAGCTCAAACAGAATGTATGTTTTAAATTTTTATTGATATTGTATCAGGGTACTTTTTGAGAAGATTATAACATTCTACACTTCCACCAGCAGTACAAGTGGCCCTTTCTTTGTAACTGGTATAGACTGTTATCACTCTTTTAAATTTTTCCCACAGTGATGGGTAAGAAAAAGTACCTGATGACTCATAGACACAGAATACCAACTTGTGGTTGCCCGGGGGAGGGGGCTGGGAACGGACAGATTGGGAGTTTGAAATCTGTAAATACTGACAGGTATATATAGAATAGATAAACAAGTTTATACTGGGAAATATATACAAGATCTTGTGGTAGCCCATGGTGAAAAAGAATGTGACAATAAATATATGTATATCCATGTATGACTGAAAAACTGTGCTCTACACTGGAAATTGACACATTGTAAACTGACTATAACCCAGTAAAATAAAATTTAAAAAAAGACACTATCTAAATCACACATACACAAAAGAAATAGTATCTGATGACTTTAATTTGCCTTTCCCTGACTCCTAGTGAAGTTAGCATCTTTTCAAATGTTTATTGGGCACTTGAATTTCCTCTTCAGTGAATTGTCTGATCGTGTCATCTACCTATTTTTTTTTCATCGTGTTCCTACTTGTCTTGGTGAAATCTATTTTCTTGGTATCCTTTCTTGTTAGGAACCTTAGCAGTTTGCCACATGTGTTGTAGATATTTCCCCCCAGTCTATGGCTTGTCTTTTGACTTTAAGCATGAGTTCTAGAGTCAGAAGGATTAGGATTAGGGCTTGAATCTGGTTCCATGATTTTCTAGCTCTGTGATCTTGGGTTTCTTTAGCCACTTAGAGCCTTAGTTTCCTCTAAAGTTGGGATAATAGTATGTACTTTTAAAGGGTTGCTGTGATAAAGAAGCTGGCATAAGTAGAGTGAGCAAATGTAGCTAGTAGTTCCCTTTCCCCTTTTCAGCCTATGTAAAGAAATAGGGCTTGAGTGTCTAGTGAGTCACCTGTACAGAATGAACTCTCTATCTGTAAGGCTAAATTTTCCTAGAGTAAATTAGTGTATTTTGTATTTTAAAAAATTCCTCTTGTTTTCCTGTGTGAATGCTTACAAATGATGGTTAGAAAGAAGTAAATAGGAAGATTGTGTTGTGATGGGGGTAGGTTACAAGTGGTCCTCCCTTCTCTAGACTCTCTTGGGTTTTTTGCTTTTTTTTTTTTAATGGAGGTATGTGGAATGGAACTCAGGACCTCGTGCACACTAAGCAGATACTCTGCCACTGAACTATACCCTTCCCCACAGTGCAGGATCATGAGAATAGCTTGCTCAGAGATGACCCTTCTGGTTTTTGATTGAATTAGAAATCCCCTGCCTGTCCCACCTTTGGGATATCCTTAATTGTCATTCTCTTATTAGACTGGAATTTTCTTCCCTGAAATTTATTCCTAGATCTGCCATCTCTTGCTACAAAGAACAAAAACTAACAAAAAACCCTTTCTTGAAAAGAACCTGCCCTTCACCTTATATCCCTCTAAATCTTCCCTTTTCCAGATTAAACATCACCTTGTTAAAGGAAGCACCATAGTTTGGTAGAAAGAGGATGGATGGAGAAGTGAGGAGATGAGGTTCAGCTTCTGCCTTTTGCGTGACCAGCCTGCTGACTTAGGATGAGCCACTCTGGGCCTCAGTCTTTTCCTTGTATGGCGAAGAGGTTGGACTTACATGACCTTTAAGATTGCTTTCCACACTGGATTCTGGGCTTTTAACTTCAGCTGAGGCTTCTGTTAAATGGTTTGGTTTGTCATCTTTTCTCTGCCCTCTTGTGGACACTGTTAGGAAGAAAATAAAATGTTTAATTGCTCAAAGGACAATGTAATGACCAATCAGAAATTCACCTGTATCAAACTATTTCCATTTACTCATGTTCTCTTCTAGTCCTCATCCGTAAATGTACGTAATTAACTTTACATGATCGAATCATATCAGGGATCTAATTTTGTACTTTTTTCCCCTCATTGAGACTTTATATATATACAATTACTCAGATATAATTCACATGCCATAAAATTCCGCCTTTTAAAGAATACAGGTTAGTGGTTTTTAGTATATTCATGAGATTGTACAACCATAAATACGAATTCCAGAATATTTTCACCACCCCAAAAAGAAACCCCTTACCTATTAGCAATTATTCTCCATTCTCCCCTCCTCCCAGCCCCCAGTAACTACTAATCTACTTTCTATCTTTATAGGTTTACCTATCTAGGACATTTTCTATAAATGGAATCAGACAATATCTCCTTTTGCGTCTGGCTTCTTTCACTTAGCATAATGTTTCAGGATTTATCCATGTTGTAGCCTGCATTATTATTATATATTTTTCATTTTTTTCAAATAACACGGAATTATATTTTAATGCTGTGTAATATTCCCTTCTCTGGAGACATTTAAGCTATTAATAGATATGTATATTTGTTGTTGTAAAGAATGCTGCATCGATATTTTCATGCTTCTAATTCATCTGTTCTCTTGAATTATATCAGAATAAATTCCCCTGGGTGGGATTATTGGGTCAAAGGCTATGAACATTTTTATGACTCTTGTCAATATTGCTCTTAAATTGTGGTGCCCAGAACTAAATGCAGTTCTCAGATGAGTTCAGACAGAACAAGGTACTGTGGAGCTATTAAGTTCTCAAGGTCTGGACAGTATATCATCCTTTAAATCAAGCAGTCTAAGAATTTATTAGCTTTTTTTTTTTTTTGGTTGCTCATTGAGCTTATAGCCAACTAAGACCCTTAGGTCTTTTTCTAGGCACTGTGTCTTCAAGCTGTTGCATCTACTTTAGGACCCAGGAGGCTTTTGAGGACTCCTTAGCCTGAATTTAGTATTTCTTTGTTTTGTTTTGTTTTTAATGGTGGGTGGTCCTAATAAGCTAGCAGCAAGTCTGGGTTTACTGCAGTCTTAACTAAGAACTGCAGATGGCGCCTTAAGGCTGTCACAGGGTAAAATATGTCCCTTCATTTTTTTGGAATCTGGTAGTGGCACCTCCGTAGCAGATTCATTACTAGAGTTTATCCCCTCCTTTTGCTGGGAAGGTGAGAGCAACTGTGAAGTTGGATTTGGGTGTTATTCAGGGCAAACTTCAAATGAAGTATGTTTTCTAGAGGTTATTTGATCGCCTCAGAAACTCTGGGGAAATCTAGCTCATATTAGAGCTTTGCTTAAACACAAATTTCATGCCACTGCTTCGGTTTTTGAAGTTTACACCCTGAGAAGCTGATTTTTTTGTTTCTCTTCATGTTCTTTGCCATCTCCTTCTCTTAGTAACGGCAAGGATTTGAAACTTGTTCAATGAACCGGTTTTGTTTGTTTGTTTGTTTTGCTAGGGTGGCTTTTGAAGAACAAATGCAGAAAACTTTATCTGGGATTCCAGCTAAGTGAGGTTTTATTTCAATAATTTGTTGCTTTCTTCATTTTCCTTTTCTTCACAATTCTCTTTTTTCTCCCCACCTCTCATCCATCTGCTTACTTGCAAACTATTATAACTTTCAGGAAGACCTTGGATTTTCTAGATTTAAACCTCACTGATAAGTTTCAACAGAAGAGAGCAGTGCCCTGTGTGGGAGAGTTGGAGGGGAATGATTTTAACCCCTTCTGTGCCAGCCCTTAGTTCCATTTCTGGGCCTAAGAATTGTTGTGGGGGACATCCTCCGCTTGGCAGTGACTGAGTTATCATGAGAGTCTGGCTTCACAAGCATCACTTAAAAGGGCATTTTCCTACCATCAGTAGGTCAGGCACCTTGCAGATGAATTAGTATCAGGAAAGAAATTCAAAGGGTATAGAGGAAATATAAATGTCTTCTATTCATATATTTCTCAGTCAATATCTGAGGGCCAGTGAGGCTCATGTTACTCCCCCCCCCCATGCCTTCCTACCCATAACCACCAGTTTGGACTTAGCTTCTCTTGCTAGTTTCTCTTCTTCAGGCCTGGGGCCACAACAGAGAGTGTAAGCTTACTGCTTTTCTGTGTAACTTGGGTGGGAAAGCACTTGTTCAATCCAGGCAAGTGGTACCATATTATTTTATATTCAGTGATGGGAACTCTTTGTCCCTTAGCAGTTGACTTTTCCTGCGCAGCCAAAAGACTGATCATTTCAGACCCATCTTCCTTCAAACTCTAATTCTTTTCCATCAGTGTGTTTCTTGGTCTCACGTTCATGCCTTTGCTGATGTCAGTCTTTCCTATAATTCTTTTTCCTTGCTGCTAATTCAAATCTTTACACTTCTTTTACAATCCAGCTTAAGGTTTATCCCTAAATGATGCCTTCACTGATTAATTCCATTTTTAGTAATCGTTCTTCCTTGAATTCCTTCAGCATTCTTGTCTAGTTTGTACCATTCTATCAAGCATTTTCTTACGTCATTCTCTAGCTTGTGTTTGTTAAGCTTTGTCTCCTTAACTATATCAAAGCTCCCTGACAGCAAGGACTGTCTTCGTTTCTCCCAGTGCAAATAACAGGACATTTGCTAAATATGTTAAATTGTTATTTAACAATTTGGAGCCTCAGTTTCCCCATTTGTTACATGGGGATAATGATGTCACAGGGATGTTGAGACATTTAAATGAGATAATGTGTTGAGAGCACTTTATAAATCATAAAACATTTTATAGAGGGTGGCATTATCACTTTTTAACAAATAGTGACAGGCTGTATAAATGAAAGAGTATGCTGAAATTCTATGAATGAACTTACAGTAAAGCAGTATTAGTTAAATATCTTACACTAAGAAACAAATTCACTAAAAATCAATTCCAAGTTTAATGAACCTGCAAGGCATTCTTACCAAACTGAGTGTTTCTCAATTTTGGTTCTGACATTGCCACTAATTTTATGATGTAACAATTCAACCTTTGATAATTTAAGGCTTTTTTCAGCTCCAAACATCCGATACACAACTGAATTTGGGTATGTTACCCATGTTTTTGGACCTTAGTTTTGTTATCTGTGAAGTGAGAAATGCCAACTTAATCAAACCCCATTCAATAGGACTTTATAGAGTAGATGTTCAAGTGAACAGTAATCCTGCAAGGAAGTCTCTTGGGAGAAAAAAGTTTCCTTGAGGGAAAGCTGCATACTATATAGTGCATTCCCTTCAGTATTTTTTTTATTTGTGATTTTTTATGTAATGTGAAATTCATTTATTTTCCCTAATATTTTATAATGGACATGGATTATTTTTATACTCAGAAGAAGAGTTTTTTTTTTAATTGAAGTATAGTCAGTTATAATGTGTCGATTTTCTGGTGTACAGCACAATGTCCCAGTCATGCATATACATATATATTTGTTTTCATATTCTTTTTCATTAAAGTTTATTGAATATAGTTCCCTATGCTATACAGAAGAAATTTGTTTTTGAATCTATTTTTATATACAGTGGGTAACATTTACAAATCTCAAACTCCCAAATTTATCCCTAATATTTTTTTAATTGAAGTATAGTTGCTGTACAATCTTATATAAGTTACAGGTGTAAAATATAATGGTTCCCAATTTTTAAAGGCTATACTTCATTTATAGTTACTATAAAACATTGGCTATATTCCCCATGTTGTACAATATATCCTTGTAGCTTATTTTATACCTTATAGTTTTTATCTCTTAACCCCCTTTCTCTGATATTGCCCCTCCCCTCTTCCCTCTCCCTACTGGTGATCACTAGTTTGTTCTCTGTATCTGTGAGTCTGCTTCTTTTTTGTTACATTTACTAGTTTGTTGTATTTTTTAGATTCCACATATAAGTGATATTATACAGTATTTGTCTTTCTCTGATTTATTTCACTTAGCATAATACCCTCAAATTCCACCCATGTTGCTGCAAATGGCAGAATTTAATTCTTTTTTATGGCTGAATAGTATTCCTGTGTGTGTGTGTGTGTGTGTGTGTGTGTGTGTGTGTGTGTGTGTGTGTGTGTTTACCGCATCTTCTTTATCCATTCATCTGTTGATGGACACTTACATTGCTTCTATATCTTGGCAATTGTAGCTAATGCTGCTATGAACATTGGGGTGTGTATATCTTTTTGAATTAGTGTTTTTGGATATAGTCCCAGGAGTAGAATTACTGGGTCATACGGTAGCTCTATTTTTAGTTTTTTGAGAAACCTCCATACTGTTTTGCACAGTGGCTGCACCAATTTACATTCCTACCAACAGTGTAGGAGGATTCCCTTTTCTCCACATCCTCTCCAGCATTTGTTATTTGTGGTCTTTTTGATGATAGCCACTCTCACAGGTGTGAAGTGATATCTTATTGTGGTTTTGATTAGCATTTTCCTGAACATTAGCAATATTGAGCATCTTTTTTATGTGCCTGTTGGCCATCTGCATTTCCTTTTCCAAAAAACATCTATTCAGTTCTTCTGCCCATTTTTTTAAATAGCAGTTTTAGGTTTACAACAAAATTGACAGGTACAGAAATTTCCAATATACTCCCTCTCCACACATACGCATAGTCATTATTTTTATTAACCAGTCATTATTTTTATTTATATATATTTTTTAAACTAAGGATGAACATATTTTGACATACCATAATCACCAAAGTCCACAGTTCACCTATTTGGACAAAAGTATAGATCTCCATCATTATAATGTCAAACAAAGTATTTTCACTGCTCTTAAAAACTCCTCTACTCCAGAATGGCATATGGAATCTCTTTTTTCCCTTGAAAAGAGGTTCAAAGCCTTCATGTCTATAGAACCACTCATGGCCCACCCATGCATGGACTGGACAGGCTCTAGGTGGCAAATTCCCCTACTAAATACTGTGGCTTTTCTTCCAATATTGAGCCCTGTCCCACGGGTCCTGCCCAGCAGCCATGTGGAGGTGCAGGGGAATACCTGTAGGGTATGTGTTCATAGGAGGGCCCCAAGTGTTGTGCCTGTTGTCACAGTGAACCCGGATTCCTGTTGGCTGTGTTGTAAACAGAGGATCCATTTCTTCAGGCCCCCTGCTCTGAGCACACCCATCTTCTGCCCATTTCAGAACTGTGTTGTTTGTTTTTTTGATGTTGAGTTGTATGAGCTGTTTATATAGGTTGGATATTAACCCCTTATCAGTCATGTCATTTGCAAGTATTTTCTCCAATTTCATAGGTTTATCTTTTCATTTTGTTGATGGTTTCCTTTGCTGTGCAAAAGCTTTCAAGTTTAATTAGGTCTCATCTGTTTATTTTTGCTTTTATTTCATTTGCTTTAGGAGATGGATCCAAAAAAACTATTGCTGCAATTTATGTCAAAGGCTGTTCTGCCTACGTTTTCCTCTAGGAGTTTTATAGTATCCAGTCTTACATTTAGGTCGTTAATTTGAGTTTGCTTTTGTATATGGTATTAGAAAATGTTCTAATTTCATTCTTTTACATGTAGCTGTCCAGTTTTCCTAGCATCTCCCTTCAATTAACAAAGCACATTACCATATTAAATGCTCTGGGAAGTAAAGAAACCAATTTATCTTGATTTCACCTGAATTTCTCAAACTTACTTGGACCTGGAGCAGTTTTTTCAGATAACATCTATTCAGCATCCCATGAAACTAATTTTCTAAGACAAACAGTGTGGACTGCCAACATGAATATCCTTAGGTATCAGAGGTAGTCTAAGCAAAGGTAAATGTTCACCCTTATGTGATGTTCTCTGCTGGTCGTCATTCCTGTTGTGACTTCAGCTTTAGTTAAAAGAGATCTTAACTTCAGTCTTTTTTCTTCCTAAGGAAAACATGAAATTGGCAATCAATCATTTCGGATACAAAATATCAACTCAAACAAAAATATGAGAAAAGTTCTGATCTCAAGGATCTACTTGGAAATATATTAAATTAGGTCATGTATTAACATGACTATATCTGCCAAGGTGAAGTTTCCTGTCATGATTTATCTTTAATTCCAATTTTGCCTCACTCATTAGGTAACCTGGGGTAAATTCCCTTAAGGCTGAACTGAGACATATGAGTTATTTCTAAATGATCTTCTGTTGTAGTCCTTAGCAGTTACTCTAATCATTTCAGAAATTTGGTTGTTTTTGTGTTTTCTTCTGAGTGAGCCACAAGTATTATATGTTGAATTTATTACAGGATTTCTTTTCCTCCAATATAATTTGTAGGCAGATTTTAAAGAATTTGCCACTAATTCAAAGCAGGCAATGATCACTTTCTTTTATTGTAAAGTACAGCATATAAAATGGAAAATGCATATGTAATATAAAGAACAGTGATAAAATTAATAACCCAGGTCCAAAAGGTACTTTTGAAACATTTGTTCAATGTCCTTTAAGAAAGTGCTGCATGGAGAAAAGGGCCAAGGTGGGTCATGAGCTGCAGTAGCCCTCTTAGAAATCCCACTCAACAAAACATACACTCTATATGACCTGCCCTCCTTGGAGGGCCATTATTTTTTGAGTAAAATCCCTGTGAAGAGTCTACCCCTTCTGTCACCCCAGGGACTTTGCAAAATATTCTCAACCATACTCAGGACTCTCACTTAGAGGAGATCAGCTAGATATTTTTCCTCTCATTCGATTTCCAGTGATGTTTCGACAGCTGTCATAGATTGGGCCTAAGCATGTTCCTTAATCCTTCTCCCTTCTCCATGAGTGCGATATCCACCTATAAAAACTCTCTCTCATTAGACCAGGGGTTCTCAGGAAAGGAATCATGTCTTTCCTAACAGGCTGTAAGGTTTCCAGGAGTGAGGATTTAATTTTCCTCCCAAAGAAACTACATTGGTTTTGCAGCAGCATCAGGTACTACAATGAAGGTGTTTCCCAAGTGACTATGGGTAGGTGAAATCAGTCCTTCTAGAATAAGATCTTGGATCCTGTTGGTTCAGGTCCTATTCTTCAGTAAGACGTTTCCTACTAACCAGGGTCATATCATCCCATCCCATGCTGTATGGGAAGAAAGGGGAATTGTGGAAGAATTAGTCACTCATTCCTCTTTGTTCCTATACCACTTTGCAGTTTTCTGTTCCAGCACTGATCACATGTTATAGTTAATTATTTAATAGCTTTTATCCTCCAGTACAACTGGATACTTTCCTGGAGGATAATGATCTTGTTTTGTTCTTCTTTGTAAGTGACCCATGCCTAGAACAATGCCTACCACTCACTGAGTGGCCAATTTAGTAAATGAAAGAAGATTCAATAATAAGCAACACATGGTGTAGTGCCCTAACTAGTTGGATGACCTCATCTTCTGTTTCTTTAGATCTGTAAATATGGTTGGATCAGATTAGGAATTATTAACCAGGGGCCAGTGGGCTCCAGAGGATTTTTGACTCTTCCACCCCCTGCAAATTTAGAAACCAATGGACCAAATAACTTCGTAGAGATCTACTACAGGACCCCACTACATGTACTGCAACAGCAATAACAAACATGTGGAAACCAAACTACATTGTGCCTGTGGTGTCTGTACACACTCACACACACTCTCGGGCTTGTCGTTGGTGTCCAGTGCCCCTTACGCTTTGGCCTCAAAAAATAACGTGGGGATAGATTCTGATTAACCTTTCCAATGCTGATTGTCTAAACATCCAGCCTCTAGTCGCTCCTAATAGGTGGCTGATCTGTTGGCTGTGGGGTGGGTGCTTCACACACGGAGGACACTTGCTAGAAAGATGTACACATATTAGAGATCGTTCTTATCCTGGGGTGCTTGGGAATCTGACCATGAAGACATTAGAGTATTTGACAGAAACATACGACGGGCAATGTGCCTGACCCCATCTGTGCCAGCAGCATAGATGGATGCCACAGAAATGGACTTGGGCAGTATGTCCAGCGGACGTGGCAGAGAATCCTCAACTCACTGCTGAGGTTATCCTGCGCCAGGTCCGGAAGGCGCAACCTCCCCCCAACACCACGCAGCAACCCCGATAGATTCCCAGGAGGCTGAGTGGCTGCGGAGTCCGGACGTTTCCTTCAGCCGGTGGCTCTGAAATGGCCTTTTGCAGTAAAACTTGGGTCGGGAAGAAGGCAATGGGGAAAGTGCTGGAAATACGTCGGGGCGGAGTTGTAGCGCTGAAAGGCGAGCGGCCTGGGAGACCGAGTCCCGGCTTAGACCTAGAGAGAAAAGCCCCTTGCAACGCTTCCCTCGAGGCGGCCGCCTTCGGCAACCTCCGGGGGAGTTTCGGCTCTTTCCGGCAGTTCCAGCTCGGGCCCTCAATTCCCAGTCAGCGCTATCCTCCCACCCCCACGCCGCCCAGCTCTTTCTTGGCGCGGGCCGTTCTGCACGTGCGTGCGACCTCGTTTCCCGCTCGTCCCCACTCATATCTAGTTTGTTCCCGACCCACTCTTCCAATCCCGTCTCTTCCTGGTTCTTCCCAATCCCCGGCTACGGCCGAGCTCCCTAAACTCAGGCCCACGACCCGCCGGGCGGTGTGAGACCGCGAGATCCGGTCACGAGAGGGGCGGTAACCCGACGTACTGGAGGCTGGCTGCCGCCCCG